GACAGCTAGGACAGACATTCCACTTCTAGGAAGACAGCTAGGGACAGACAGTCCACCTTCTAGAGAGACAGCTAGGGACAGACATTCCACTTCTAGGAAGACAGCTAGGGACAGACAGTCCACTTCTAGAGAGACAGCTAGGGACATACAGTCTTCTGGAGAGACAGCTAGGGACAGACAGTCCACTTCTAGAGAGACAGCTAGGAACAGACAGTCCACTTCTAGAGAAACAGCTAGGGACATACAGTTTTTCTTGAGAGACAGCTAGGGACAGACAGTCCACTTCTAGAGAGACAACTAGGGACAGACAGTCCACTTCTAGAGAGACAGCTAGGGACATACAGTCTTTTAGAGAGACAACTAGGGACAGACAGTCTTCTAGAGAGACAGCTAAGGACATACAGTCTTCTGGAGAGACAGCTAGGGACAGACAATCCACTTCTAGAGAGACAGCTAGGAAAAGACAGTCCACTTCTAGAGAGACAGCTAGGGACATTCAGTCTTCTGGAGAGACAGCTAGGGACAGACAGTCCACTTCTACAGAGACAGCTAGGGACAGACAGTCCACTCTAGAGAGACAGCTAGGGACAGACACTTCACTTCTAGGGAGACAGCTAGGGACAGACAGTCCACTTCTAGAGAGACAGCTAGGGACATACAGTCTTCTGGAGAGACAGCTAGGGACAGACAGTCCACTTCTAGAGAGACAGCTAGGAAACAGACAGTCCTCTTCTAGAGAAACAGCTAGGGACATACAGTTTTCTTGAGAGACAGCTAGGGACAGACAGTCCACTTCTAGAGAGACAACTAGGGACAGACAGTCCACTCTAGAGAGACAGCTAGGGGCATAAAGTATTTTAGAGAGACAACTAGGGACAGACAGTCTCTAGAGAGACAGCTAGGGACATACAGTCTTCTGGAGAGACAGCTAGGGACAGACAGTCCACTTCTAGAGAGACAGCTAGGAACAGACAGTCCACTTCTAGAGAGACAGCTAGGGACATTCAGTCTTCTGGAGAGACAGCTAGGGACAGACAGTCCACTTCTACAGAGACAGCTAGGGACAGACAGTCCACTTCTAGAAAAGACAGCTAGGACAGACATTTCACTTCTAGGGAGACAGCTAGGGACAGACAGTCCTCTTCTAGAGAGACAGCTAGGGACATACAGTTCTTCTGGAGAGACAGCTAGGGACAGACAGTCCACTTCTAGAGAGACAGCTAGGAACAGACAGTCTTCTGGAGAGACAGCTAGGGACAGACAGTCCACTTCTAGAAAAAACAGCTAGGGACATACAGTTTTCTTGAGAGACAGCTAGGGACAGACAGTCCACTTCTAGAGAGACAGCTAGTGACATACAGTCTTCTGGAGAGACAGCTAGGGACAGACAGTTCACTTCTAGAGAGACAGCTAGGGACATACAGTCTTCTGGAGAGACAGCTAGGGACAGACAGTCCCACTTCTAGAGAAACAGCTAGGACATACAGTTTTCTTGAGAGACAGCTAGGGACAGACAGTCCACTTCTAGAGAGACAACTAGGGGCAGACAGTCCACTTCTAGAGAGACAGCTAGGGGCATACAGTCTTTTAGAGAGACAACTAGGGACAGACAGTCTTCTAGAGAGACAGCTAGGGACATACAGTCTTCTGGAGAGACAGCTAGGGACAGACAGTCCACTTCTAGAGAGACAGCTAGGAACAGACAGTCCACTTCTAGAGAGACAGCTAGGGACATTCAGTCTTCTGGAGAGACAGCTAGGGACAGACAGTCCACTTCTAGAGACAGCTAGGGACAGACAGTCCACTTCTAGAGAGACAGCTAGGGACAGACAGTCCACTTCTAGAGAGACAGCTAGAGACATTCAGTGTTTTAGAGAGACAGCTAGGGACAGACAGTCTTCTAGAGAGACAGCTAGGGACAGACAGTCTTCCAGAGAGTCAGCTAGGGACAGACAGTCTTCTTGAGAGACAGCTAGGGACAGACTGTCCACTTCTAGAGAGACAGCTAGACACAGACAGTCCACTTCTAGAGAGACAGCTAGGGACATACAGTCCTTCTAGAGAACAGCTAGGGACAGACAGTCTTCTAGAGAGACAGCTAGGGACAGACAGTCTTCTAGAGAGACAGCTAGGGACAGACAGTCTTCTAGAGAGACAGCTAGGACAGACAGTCTTCTAGAGAGACAGTTAGGGACAGACAGTCCACTTCTAGAGAGACAGCTAGGGACAGACAGTCCACTTCTGGAGAGACAGCTAGGAACATTAAGTCTTTTAGAGAGACAGCTAGGGACATACAGTCTTCTAGAGAGACAGCTATGGACAGACAGTCCAACTTCTAGAGAGACAGCTAGGGACAGACAGTCTTCTAGAGAGACAGCTAGGGGCAGACAGTCTTCTAGAGAGTCGGCTAGGGACAGACAGTCTTCTAGAGAGACAGCTAGGGACAGACAGTCCACTTCTAGAGAGACAGCTAGGGACAGACAGTCCACTTCTTGAGAGACAGCTAGGGACAGACAGTCCACTTCTAGAGAGACAGCTAGGGACAGACAGTCTTCTAGAGAGACAGCTAGGGGCAGACAGTCTTCTAGAGAGACGGCTAGGACAGACAGTCTTCTAGAGAGACAGCTAGGGACAGACAGTCCACTTCTAGAGATGACAGCTAGGGACAGATAGTCCACTTCTTGAGAGACAGCTAGGGACAGACAGTCCACTTCTTGAGAGACAGCTAGGGACAGACAGTCTTCTAGAGAGACAGCTAGGGACAGACAGTCCACTTCTTGAGAGACAGCTAGGGACAGACAGTCCACTTCTTGAGAGACAGCTAGGGACAGACAGTCCACTTCTAGAGAGACAGCTAGGGACAGACAGTCTTCTAGAGAGACAGCTAGGGGCAGACAGTCTTCTAGAGAGACGGCTAGGGACAGACAGTCTTCTAGAGAGACAGCTAGGGACAGACAGTCCACTTCTAGAGTGACAGCTAGGGACAGATAGTCCACTTCTTGAGAGACAGCTAGGGACAGACAGTCCACTTCTTGAGAGACAGCTAGGGACAGACAGACCACTTCTAGAGAGACAGCTAGAGACATTGAGTCTTTTAGAGAGACAGCTAGGGACAGACATTCTTCTAGAGAGACAGCTAGGGACAGACAGTCTTCCAGAGAGTCAGCTAGGGACAGACAGTCTTCTAGAGAGACAGCTAGGGACAGACTGTCCACTTCTAGAGAGACAGCTAGAGACAGACAGTCCACTTCTAGAGAGACAGCTAGGGACATACAGTCTTCTAGTGAGACAGCTAGGGACAGACAGTCCACTTCTAGAGAGACAGCTAAAATTAAACAAAAATAATGTTTATTGACATACTATATATTAATCATCATATGTATTATTATTACTCTGCATCAGTCATACTATATATTAATCATCATATGTATTATTATTACTCTGCATCAGTCATACTACATATTAATCACACGATGCATTTATCACACTAAGTATGATTAATGGTCTGCATAAAATAAAACATTGAAATATGTTCCAACATTAGTCATCTTGCTTAGCACGGTATACATTGTACGGTATACATAGTATAGCATACATAGTCTAATATACATAGTATGGTATTCATAGTATGGCATTCATAGTATTTTATACAATGTATGGTATACATAATACAGTATCCATAGTATGGTATACATTGTATCTTAAGTATAGTATCCATAGTATGGTATACATTGCATTGTATGTATAGTATCCATAGTATGGTATACATTGCATTTTCTGTATAGTATACATAGTATGGTATACTTTGTGGTATGCATAGTACAGTATACATAATATAGCATACGTAGTATAGTACACATAGTATGGTATACATTGTATGGTATTCAAAATATGGTATTCATAGTATGACATATATTGTATGGTATACATAATATGGTGTACATACGATTGTATACCTAGTATGGTATACATAGCATGGACAATACAAGAAACACTGATGTGTTCATTCCCAAGTTGTGACCTGGATGAAACAGTTCACAGATAACGGTGCTGAACCGACCGAAACGTCTTCTTAAAATTCCTGTGCAAGGTGAATGTTATTTGTGAATTATTTGCACAGAATCTAGTAGCGATTTGTAATAGATTTATCACTAGAAACGTCAGTTTGGTTTTCTAGTGTTCGCAGATGTTATCAACTGACGCGGGTGTCTTGCGGGTGTTATTAATTGATATAAAATTGATGTTTCGTTACTGTGGATTTGTCAGTATGCGCAGATGTTTATCCGAGGTTTCCTGAGCCGGGAAAAGGTAATCAAATACATTAAATATTTAGTGCTGTATGCATCCTGGTAAGGTTGATCATTTTACATTTAACATGTGAGTAAGGTTGGTCATCCTACATTATGCAGAGTAAGTAGTGTTGGTCAGCCTGTATTATGAAAGACTGGTCATCCTACAGCGTGTGCAGTAAGGCTGGTCAGCCTGCATCATACACAGTAATAATAATATTATTAATAATAATAATATTTATTTCTACAAGTACATGTATATGGTACACAGTCCTGTCTGACATCAGTGGCATATTACTGTATTGAAAGCCGCTTATTATGCAGAGTATTTCAGGCAAATTAGGGCAATTTTGTCCCAGGATGCTACCTACACCAGTCGACTAACACCCAGGTACTAATTTTACTGATAGATGAACATGGGCAGCAGATGTTTTAAGGAAAGAAGTCCTAATGTTTCCACCCGTACCGGGGGATCGACCCTCGGACTTTAGTACGTGAGATTAGTTTGATCAGCCTGCATTATGCACAGTGTATAGAGTTAGTCAGCCTGCAGCATGCACGGTGAGGGTGGTCATTTTACAACGTGTTCAGTAAGGTTGGTCATCCTACTACGTGTACAATAAGGTTGGTCATCCTACTAAGTTCACAGTAAGATTTGTCAGCTTGCGTCATACACAGTAGATCAGTGTTGCCAGTGTAACAAAGTGCGCCTGGCAACAGGATGTGAGGTGGGAGGTGGCGTTCACAATGTCGTCTCAGTCTAGCTTCAGCCTTCACTTGTATAGAATTCATCTTCAAGCTTGAATCACATATTGAGCCTTGAAGGAGCTTTGTCTGTTACTGCGCCCCCTGGAAAAGTAACTAAATATAATTATGCTCTTAGAAATCACTATATACGTAAGGAACATACAGTGTTATAGAAACTAAATAAGAAGAGCGCACTTGCGGTGTTTAGTAACTGTGGAAGAAGTGTGTGTGAGGTAAGATTATGAATTAGTCGTCACTTGTTTATATGGGGAGGGCGGATCCTCGTCTGTGCTGCTCGCAAAACCTGCACCAGCCACGAATTTTGTTGAAATTACACCTCAGGCTTCATCAGATGAGGCTAAAGAGCCGTGAGTGATGTGTAGAGTGATGTGCTATTGATGCTGATGCTCATCCAGTGTCTGGTCATCGTCGAGGAAAAATGGCTTTCACTGGACCATCAGGAGACAACCGTCTCAATTATGCTAGACATTCACGGTTCATCCGCACCATTGGTCAAAGCATAATGTACCAGGCCTACCTCTGGCTCTACCAAGGCGGCTCCCTTACCTTGTTCCAGTATCTTAACTCTCTTCCTAAGGGACTGAATGGTTTAGAGAAACATACTGTAGACGATATTAAAGCCGAGAGAGATCTTACGAATATGGATATTACATCGTTGTACAAAGTGATGCAGCGGGCGTGTGGATTATCCATCGAGGACAGAGCGTGGTACACTAAACCAAAATCAGAAAAAGACACAACTCTGGAACAAGCACTCCATCAACTCAAGCTTGAACGCAATAAACTCTTACATAAAGACCCCACAACGTTTATCAAGGTCTCGGATAGCGAGCTAGACTCAGCAATGGCTCTTCTGAAGACGCTATACAGGAACATCTTGGTCTTGGCTGCCGAAAAAGGTAAGGTGGAACCGAATACGTTAAAAGTAGCAATAACAAAAATGGAGGAGGATCTCAGGCAAGAGCGATACTCTGAATCTGGCATCACCGAGTCTGAATTTTTGAAGATAAGTGTGCAGGATCTGACGGAGAAGAATCAGGAGGAAGGTCTGGAGTCCTTTCCCTCGGAGTACGTGGAGGTGCGCCTTTCGAAGGAGAACCAAGATATCAGTCCCTCGCAAATCCCGCTGAAGGATTTGCTGGTTCAGACTTGTAAGGAGGGGGACAAACCTCAAGTGATGGTGGTGGTGGGAGAGACCGGAGCTGGGAAGACATCACTCTGTCAGTAAGTTCAGCTCTTGTTGATGTCGATTAGATAGTGAATATGAAATTGGTTTCCAAAGATTGAAAAACAAAAAAAAATATTGCTATATCATTATTTAAAATTACTAACTTATGATAGTATTTACTAACTTAAGTTGTGGATTTAATCTACTTTCTTAAAGTAGATTTTTTTTTTTTCATAATCCTGAGAAAGAAGCAGACACATAAGTAATTTATTTAGATGGCAGAACCTGATAATGGTGCTTTATTTCTCAGGAGAGATGGGAATATTTATCGAGACGTGGGTCTCAGGCAAATGATGCTCCACCGGTAAGCCAGCCTTCCGCTGGTTTACCAGTCCTCCCCGTATAAAAATGATATTTGACATTACAATCTGCCTCATATACCAAACAAGGGTTAACCCGGTAGTATAAACATCCAACTAATTCTAGGAATTTTAACAATAAAAAGTGCTTCAGAATAAAATAAAAGAATTGTTTATAAAATAAACGGACAGTCAAGCACAAGACCTGCCGTTCAAGTTTTTCCATGATTTTTAAATTATGCGGAATCTTCCGGCAGTGTGCCAGTCAGAGGAGCTTAATGCGGAAGAATTGCTCTCGTTCCAGGGAGTTGGACCTATTCTTCCTTTTCACGAGTCTGATTTGATTACTTTAGATGTCCAAGGTGCTATATGGCCCCTTTGGATTTAGCGCTTCTCCATGAAAATAACAATAGAATGAGTGATGGTGAAAGTGTTTCTTGTTTTTCGGAGCACCCTACCTAGGTGGGAGACGGCTGGTCTGCTGTGAGTATGACTTTTTGAAGAGCAACGCACGTAAGCAGTATGATGTTAGACAGCAAACACCCAGGGAAGTACTTCCAGCATCTCGCAGTGAACTGGAAGAATGTTCAATGTTTTGCACTCTTGTAAGAATACAAAACATTTAACAGTCTATTCGTTCTATCTCATAGAGACATAAGATGGCAGGTAAATATCAATAACCACTATTTACATTCAGAATACTTGTATCCTTAGTTTCCTAATTATTTATTAATAGTTCTTAATTTTGTAATATTACCTCTCCAGTTTAGATGTGATGTGAGAGCTACTAGGCCCTAGTAGCTCTCACATCACTCTCACATTACCCTAGTAACTAGGGTAATTATTCCAGAAAATATTGACAGATATAACAGGGAAGAGCTAAACCAGTCAGGGTCATAAAGCGCTTGGATATGGAAGGCAATCATTCAGTGGGGAGGGTAGCTCCACTGCCATGGACCAGGAGCCCTTCCTCAGCATCGAGACACCCCTTCATTAAGGGTACTGAACTCAAACCATTAACCCAAAAAAGTGACAATAAATATTCTTGTGGAGTGCTGGAGAGGCGAGGCAGAGCTGGTATTATCTGCTGGTAATCTGGTAATTCTCTTTGAGGGTTATTACGTTATCAGATTAAAATGCCTCGTTGAGACAGTAACACAGATGGTCACTGTCCTCGTGCTTATTTGACGGTCATGGAAACAACAAGAGGAACACTGCAGTAGGTCTACTGGCCTATACTAGTTAGATCATACTGCATCAGTACACTGATGGTATACTATACCGAAAATACAATATCACTGTCTTCCATGAACAGTTCTGTAATGCTGAAGGACTGATTACCTCAACTCCTACTGTCTTCATATATCATCACTGAATTGAGTTAATAAAACCACTGGTTAGTGAAAGGTCTTCAAATAAAGTTACCCGGATGTTGCACATGTGTTTAATTCCTGTTCACATAGTCTTTAAGGGTATCCAGAGTACTCGCTTCACTGACACTGCTTTCAACTTTATTGTTACTCATTTACAACTCTACTACCGAACCTGTGTTTTTTGTAGAATTTCTTAATTAAAATTGACCGAATTTGAATCCATTATTTTGGTTAAATATTTTAGCACCTTATTTATACTCTCTTCGTTTACTCTTTTTTTTTTCACTGGTATATACTAATTAAGTGTTACTTTATTTTACTCCTTTCACGTGAATGTAAACTAAGAGTTTCGAGTCAGTTTTCGAATTAAAGAGTTCCGACAAGGGAGATTAAAGGCAATAAAGATAGTGGTAATAAAAGTAACCTTTTCATACGACGCTCCGCCCAGTGCTGGTCGTGTGCATCATCCTCATTTGACAATACCTGTCGACATTGTCTTATTTGAATTTGTTTCTGTTGTGGCACCCTGGTCGTCTCTAGCGTGGCAACAGTGCTTCTTCCTTTTTCATAGTAGAGGTTATCATAGTCTAGCTCGGGATAGGGGAAAACAAATTGAAAGGTGGTACTATTCCTGAGCCACACACTTAACTTAAGAAATCGTAATGACACGATTGCAAATAAACCATACCCCCGGCCGGGATTGAACCCGCGGTCATAGAGTCTCAAAACTCCAGCCCGCGGGTTCAATCCCGGCCGGGGGTATGGTCCACACACTTAATATAGATACAGATCCATAATACTAATACAGAGTAAGGCCTTGCATTTGTTGATGCAGAATATTAGGAAAAAATTAACAGAAATTTTTGGTAAATAAAATACATCACTTAGCTATCTCTGCTTCATTAAGAAGCAGAGAGAAGACTGATCTCCTGGTTCAGTTTGAAAAATAGAGACATGCCTACGGAATGCCACAGAGGGATAAATTATTCTACACTGGCAGAGCCAACAGGAATGGAGACGGAGTTGCTATGTATGTCAGGGGAAAATTAAAACTAGTATCAGAAATGATACAGGGACAGGAGGGACAGAAACGGAAACTACATGGCTGTAGTTTCTTGAAAGACGTGAAAAACTGTGTTTGTTTAGTATTAAATTATTGTAAACAAATCTAAAATATATTTAGTTTGGTTAGGCTAAAATAAATTGTTCTTGTTATAATAAGGTTAGGTAAGCTTTCTAAGGTTCTTTTGGTGCAAAATTTTAAAATTTTACGTTAACATTAATGAAAATAATATATCTTTAAACGTGTAAGAGAAAATTTTAGAAAGGTCTTAATTTTAAACGAGTTCTTGCTAATTGGCCAGTTTTACATATATATATATATATATATATATATATATATATATATATATATATATAATATATATATAATATATATATATATATATATATATATATATATATATGTATATATAATATATAATATATATATATATATATAAAATATATATATATATAATATATATATATATATATATATATATATATATATATAATATATATATATGTCGTGCCGAATATGTAAAACTGGTCAATTAGCAAGAAACTCATTTAAAATTAAGTCCTTTCTAAAATTTCTCTTATACGTTTAAAGATATATTTTTTCTTTAAATTTGTTGATGAAAAAATTTTTATAATTTTGCCCCAAAAAGGGAACTTAGAAAACTTACCTAACCTTATTATAACAAGCGCAATTTATTTTAGCCTAACCCAACTAAAATATTTTAGATTTTGTTTACAATAATTTAATACTAAACAAACACAGTGAAATATATTTTTTTCGTTAGGTTCAGAATGATTTTGGCAAAATTTATTGCATCCCACAAATATCACTTGTCCTATATGGCAAAAATGAGCTTTTGCTATTTAAGCCAAGATCGCAAGTTCTGCTATTCGGCCCCACAAAACACACACACACATATATATATATTTATATATATATATATATAATATATATAAAATATTATAAAATATATAATATATATATATATATATAATATATATATATTATATATAAATATAATTTTATATATATATAAAATCAATAACAACACTGCGACTAGCCGAGGATTCGAACCCATGTCATTTTGCCCCGCCTCAAGGTTAGCGAAAATCACACATGACGCTGTAACATACAGGACCACCAAATCCTACAAGAAACACGAACCCAGCAGAGGTAGGTATTGTACCTTGATACGAGGACATACGGTGGTGTGGGTAGCTCTGAGCTAATTTCATTCACTAACCATAAAGCTGGCCAAAACGACATGGGCTCGAATCCTCGGCCAGTTGCCGAGTTGTCATTGATTCATTAACACTGATCTCTGGCTGAAGGAGACTCGAACCTACGAACCTTTGAACAAGGTACGCAGTGCTTTACCAATCTACCCACACTGGACAATACTTTGGATTCCAGCTTGCGCTAGACTTTGATCCAAGGCAGCCAGCTTTCAGGGAGAAAGCTTACAACTTTTCATCTTATCCCCTGCATGCATCAGCCTTACTAGAGATATTAACAATGCAAGGAATCCGCAAGAGCAGGCGAAATGTACACAAACACTGATCTCTGGCTGAAGTAGACTCGAACCTATGAACCTTGGAACAAGGTAAGCAGTTGGCATTACCAATCTACCCACATGGCAATCCCTTTGGATCCACGGGCCGTCCAGGGGCCGTTTTCCCACCGAGGCGGGGGTTACCCAAAAAAAAAAATCCCAAAAAGAAAATATTTTTCATCATCATTCAACATTTTTCATCCTTTCACACATAAAAACTGTTTTTGCAGAGGGCTCAGAAAAACAACTTTTTAGAAGCATATCCTATAAAGAAAACACAACTTTTCCCCTTCAAACTGCTAATACCCCGAACCCCCCCTTTTAGAGGGGCGGGCATTGTACTTCCCTTTTTCCAGGACTCAATTTCGGCTATATAAAAAAAACCCGGGTTTACCTTTTCCCTTTCCCACAAAATATTACCCTGCTCACACTCCAACAGATCGTCAGGTCCCAAATCCCCATTGGGTCTCCTTTTACTCCTATCAAAAACACGCTAAAGCCCCTGCTGGAAGCCCCAACCCCTCCCCCCCAAAACCCCCCTTACTCCTTCCTTCCAAACCTTTTCGAGGACGCCCCCAAACCCCCCCCTTTCCTTCTCAAAAGATTTAAATGCTCTCCAAAAATCATTCTACTTTGATCCTTTCCTCTAAAAATACCAAACCACCTCAAAAAACCCCCTTCCCCCCCTCTAAACTAATATTTTTCTTTA